GCCCAAGATGAGTGCAAACAGGCAGCTGCTTGCGCGTTGGTAGCAGAAGAACCAGTACTCTGAATCTTGTCTGTAAAGGCATATGTTATGTATCTGTCTAGGTTTCTATATGACATTTGCCATCATATTTCTGCAATTTGCGCTAGCCTAACAGGAAGTTGCAGCAAAGAGGACAAAGAAAGGAAAAAAATTTTCACACATTGGTTTTGGGTATCTGGGTAAATCTCAAATTTGACATCTGACACAGAATCACCAAGAACCTGTTCAAAATCTTGGTAGGTAGAGTGAAGTGATCACTAATTCCTACAGATAAAGTAAAATTTACCAAATAAAGCCTCTGTTGGATTCAGTCCTAAGCAATTGAGATATCCCCTTGAAGGTCTTTGCTCATTTACATTGCCAATTTATGTTGATATTAAATAGAAATAAGGTACACATTAGGCTCACAGAAGTGGGTAAGCACTCATCTTAATGTCATGGAAACTTTGCAATGTATACCACTGGAAAAAAAAAATTCCTGCTTTAGCAGGGGGATTGGACTAGGTGGTCTCTAGAGGTCCCTTCCACTCCAATTATTTTCACTTGTTTAGACTTTATCAGAGTTGATTTTCACTAATGTCTCCAGCTGTCTTCAAGGTGACGTGTATCAGATTTATAAGCAATAGGTGTCTAGTGCAATTTTAACTATCATTTAGAAGAAAACTGAGGGGTGGGGGGGGCGTGGAAATAAAGTAAGTTCCTAACACAAACAGGTGTATACATACACAGTAGCCAAACTACCTCTGTACAGTACTTCAAACCATCAATGTCCTGAGTCACTGTGTGTCCTGGTTTGAGCCAGGATGAAGCCAATTTTTCTTTTTACTGATTTTTTTTTCCTTCAGTAAGCTTTCTTGTAACTAGCAACAGTGTGTTCTGCTAGGCTGATAAGACAGTGGAATGTTTTTCTAACTCCTGAGGCTTCAAGGCTGCACCTGCACTCTGCCAGCTCAGACACTATGGGGAGATCTGTGACCCCCCCGTAGGAGGCTGAGTTAGACAGACAGCAAAATTGGCCAAAGATATTCCATTCCATATATCTACGTAAGCTCAGAGGAAGGTCAGAGATCACAGAAGACAACTTCCTTCCTTCTTCTTCTCCCCTTCTCTTCCGTCCATGGCCGGCGTCCGGGGAGGACTCTGTTCATCCATCACCGTCGATCCTCAGGCTCGAGATCTCCTGACCCCCATAACTCTCTGCTTTCTCCAGCAGCAGCTCCGGGATTCCTCGGGACTCTTCCCAGTTCAGGGAAGTGCTGTGGGAGTTGCTGGGGGGGGGGGAGGGGATCGAGAGCATTGTTGTCGGACCTGAGTCAAACGGTGACACTGTGGCACTTAAAACCATGTGGCAAAACACAGGATAGCATCTGAGACACCATTTTCCTAATCAGATATTGAAAGTGATATATAAATTAACAAGGTAATCTAACAGAGTATTTGGAAGATATTTTCCAAAGCAGCAGTAAAAATGCCAAATATTTACAGTTCTGTCTAAGTGAGGCTATTTAATATAGAGCAGCTTAATTAAGAACATGAAATAAGTTTCTTGTGACCACACAAACTACAATTCTGAGCTAATTCTGGGTGTTCTTTCATTCCAGTGCTACTGAGTAGAATAAATGAAGGTGAAGAAAGGAAATGGCCTTCCTGGAGTCCTTGATCAAACTTCAAGGTGCCAGGACTTTCCTCTCCCTGGGAAGTTCTCCATCAGGGTAAATATCCCACAATTACTCAGTGACACAAATATTCAGAGTGGAAAAATATTTTTTCTTTAGCTTGCACTTAAAAAAGGCACTGATCAATTTCTATCAGAGTAGACTTAACAGGCAAGGGGGTAACCATTGGTTTCTCCTCCATTAATTTCATACATCATAAATATTGAATTCCATTACTGAAGCAGCCAAATGCAGCCTACTTCATGAAGTCTTTTTATGGCATAGTTGCGTAATAAACCATTTCCATGTAAAATAAGGATTTACCATATGAAAAGATTCTTGGTTTAGCCCTCCCAAATAATATTGATTTTTTGTAACAGTCTACATGAAAAAATAGCAAGGAGGCATATTTGCCCTTCATTATGCACCTTTTCATTATAAATGAGAACTTCAAAAATATAAGTGCAGCATAAAAGATCCAGTGTTTCTAACATCATGGGACTCCACTCCTTTTCCATCTGAAATCACTTTAGAGCAGATCCCATGAACCAATAAGTTGCTCTCTATTTTTACAGAAGCCCTTTGTTCAAGTTATTCTCTCTCATCTTCTCCTTTCAAGTAAGTCCTGGCTCACAACTGTGTTTCCTCTTGTTCCAAAGAATGTGGAGGGACATGGCAAGATGCTGGAAGAGATGCTAGCTTCTGAAGCTTAGGGTGTTGCAAAGGTTTTGGCCTGTGAAAAGAACGTCGGCTTTGCACACGTCTGGCTGCAGCAGATCTGTAATTTCCTTGTACATCAAGTAACATTTTCTTCTCTTGGGGCTCTTTCATGTAAGAGTCTTCCAGTCCTTCAAATATACATAGAGAATTCTCTTTTTGTGAATTCTCTGATTTGTAGCTTGCTTCAGAACAATAACCTGAGTTTACTATCTCTTTATTCTTCGTATCTATACCTGCTTCCCAGAAGAGATCAGGCACATTAGGGTCACAGGAAGCTATATACTCAGAGACATTAGAAAGAGATACATTTTCTCTGTTTTCCAATGAAGAATAGTTTTGCGTCCACGGCATTTGAAGACAAGATGGGAAGAAGTGGAGTGGAGTTACTGAAATACCTTGATTTTGGTTTAGTTGGTCATCTGAGGAGGAGTATTCTGTCATTTCAACATCATGGTCCATATCACCTAGGGAGCACAATTAAATAGAAATATTTTTATGGAGGTCATAAGAAAGTGAGTGTTTTAAGAGGGCATTTTTTTTGGTGGGAAGTTGTAGCCTGTGCCAATTTCTACCTAAATCAACCCCAAGTGAATTTATTAAATATATTATCCTTGCTGAGTACCATGCAAAACTTAATTTAGTGTTTATGATGAGCAATTGTCTGCTTCAGAGAAGGCTTCATCATTTGGTCATTAATGTGTATCTTTACCTTGACACGTTTAGTCCTGGTGTTCAGCAAGGAAATCTTTCAGAAACTCTTGAAAGAAATCGTGCTTTTTCAATCTGCTAGCAGAGTAGCACCAAGAAGTCAGTTTCTTATTGACCAGAGCTTATTATCAGTTTTCTGTATACTTTAGAGACTTAATATTTCCACCCTTGCCTTCCAGTTTATATTGTTTTTAAAAACCTTTTAACTGAAATTTCAGTACCATTGACCATTTTGTTTAGGACATAATTCAGAAGACTGTTTCAAAGAGTAATCAAGCTCTAAGTTTGCTAAGTTGGGAAATCTAACTTCCCAAAACACTTCTTAAGAGACACAGCAGTCAAAACACAGTGATTTTGATGTCTCACAGCTATTTACACAAGAAATTATACATAACAGTTTCTAATGATGAAGCAATTTATAATTAAAGTAATACAATGGAGGAAAAGAACAAAGGTTAGCAAGAAAATGTTCAGCAATATAAGTCAATGTTTTATGACATTGCTGCTAGTGTGTGTGTGGGGTGGAGCCAGGGGGCGGGGGGAAGTGTGTGAGTGGAATGCTTTGGAATATTATACATTGTTCAGTTTTTTAATCAGGATACTGGAATTTAATTCACAGGTCATACACTTGTGTTCATGAATTCCAGAAAAGTGAATTCATTTTGATACTGACTACTGCATTTCATTGTGTAATCCCCACAGTACCCTATGTTATATTCAGTTATGATGTCTGGACTGTGACCTGACTCACCTCACTTACCACACTGTGTTTATTATAAATATGAAGGCTGCTTTTTATAGTAAGGAAAATTTTCACAAAGCAAGAATTAAAGAGCAACATTTAAACCTAGATCAAATATCATTTTAAGAAGAAACAAGTTATTTACTGCATCAGAAAGCTAAGGATTTTTCTGGTTTCAGAGTAAGGTATGGATTAAGATATACTCACAGTTTAAGAGCAAGGCTCTAACCAAAATTAAATTCTGCTTTTCCACAGTCTGGCTGTTGTGTAACTATGTTCCTTGTGCAAGGCAACTCTGATGCATTACAGTAAACATGCTTCATTTTAAAACCCTTTCTTATGTAATTTAATGATGACATCAGCAGAGTCATTGAATACTTGCATTGTAGCAGTGGGACTATTTTGCCTTCCTGGGCACTGGATAAATTGGACAAATATTTAGAACTGATTCGAGGCTTCTTAGCAACAGAGTAAAAAGTCATATTCTAATCATGCTAAGAGTGAGAGACTTAGTTCTCATTGCTGGTCTGGCCCTGCTGCTCCTATTGTATAACCAAATGCAATAGTTAAATGAATGATCTGACCTCGTACGGGCAAATCATATCCCTTGACATCAGCAACTGGATTGTCTTTCTGGGGATTCAGACTACTTTTCTTACATCTAAGGACAGTAGTGACAATGTTACTTGAAGGACCAATCACTGTTTAAGGGGATTGAATCAAAATTACCTAATTCCTGTTAGGGAATTCAGGTGCAATTTTTATTAGCTAGAATTGACTAATCAAGACACCTGGAGCCTCTTGAAAATGGGTACACAATATGCTGATAGTTGAATATTAATTTCTTAGTATTTTAATTATTCAAGCCAAAACGAAGAGCAGGACCCTTATCTGCTGTAAACATAACAAAGCATTGGACCCCAAGTAGTTGGCCAGTTCGTCTGCAGAAGGAAAAATAGAAAGATATTTTGTTATTCAAGTTGGAGGAAAACAGAAGATGCTTAGTTGTACGAAGAAATCAGGAAGGAAAGAGGTGCTCTGAGAGAAGAAAAATCAGCAAAGTAAGTTTACTTGTCAGTAGTCAGGGTTGATAGGAATGCTAATTAAAAATAAAGGTGATTATATCTTTTAAAATATTACATATGTGTTGATTCTGGGAGAAAAGATCTGGGTTGGTCCTCTGGGTCATCTGCTAGCAGGAAGGAATCTATTGATTTATTGCTGAGCCGGAATGGAGTGAGCCTTCTGAAGTTGTTTGGAGAATATGGGATCTGCACTCGAGCCCTTTGGGATGGTACCACAGTATCTTCACCAGATAACCATGGTGAGAACTTCATATAGATGCTCTGATCATCATCAGCTGAAAATACTGGGTTATCAATTCCTAAAAAAAAGTTAATTAGTGACAAATACAGTTAATCAAAATAATTTCTAGGTAACCATCAGCAAGATGCTTTGTAAAAGAATGGCTTTAGAGTGGAAAAAAAAAGATGGATACATGCTTGCATAAATGTGAATAGACCAATACACAGACTATTATATACACATGGGTTTCTCTTTCTATCTTGCTTATTGGTAGCAATTTTGGATTTCTACTGAAGAGAAAAATTGGATACTATATCTAATATACAGTTATGTTCGAGATATTTGAGACAAAAATTAAAACCAATGAAGAAGAAATCAGAAAAATTTAAGCAAAGTAAAGCACCATATAAAATAACTGTAGAAAATTAAAATGAAATCCATAAAAAAGAAACAAAAGATTGAAAAAAAATGCAAAGGTATAAACTACACAACTCTATAATGGAATTAGATGTGTATGAGGGAGCTAAAGTAGGCCACAGAGCAGTCAAAAGTAAGTTATAGGAGCCTTTTTTTACAGACAACAAGTTTGAAGTGTTTGAATTGCAAAAAGACATTTTAAAAATTGGTTTGCATCTTGCCATCCACTTATTTATGCATCGAGTTCCAGGTGTAGTTAGATGTTGTCAAACATTTAATTTGTTACAGCACAGTGAAAAGGTTGTATCAACTTGTCTTCCAAATGAGTACAAACACAAGTTGTTTTTTTCTTACAGTATGCATCATGTTACTTATGAAGCATACAATGGCTTGCAGAAAATTCAAAAGTGAAATACTAGAGAAATACTAGATTTTAAAATATTATAAGTCATATAATATAATTTCTGTTCCATATAGTGATGCATTTTCAATCTGATGTTCTATAGACTTTCAGGGTTTAGAATAAAGTCCAATGGATAATTCAGGAATTCTACAAATCTGTCCTTCTCTGTGAGTTCTATGAGCCTGTAAGGATTTGTGAATTTATGAGGAGAAATCCTCCTTGTTGTCTGTTAACATTAATATTAATCAAATATATTTCCTAATAGAACATATAAAAAAAATTAAAAAATACAGGCTAATTCAGCAGCATTTCTAGTATTCTTTTAACATTTAAGAAATATAATCTCTGTAAGTAATTAATATTTTTACCGGTAGGATTATCTGTGAAATTTTGCTTTGTCACATTAGCCAGGAAATCAGCTCCTTTGCCTCGATGCAAAGTTTCATAATCATTATTTTCTTCTGATTCAGAAAACTCCAAATCTAGGTGGGGGAGTGGGGAAGAAAAAGTCCAATTTTATTTGAGATTTTTATCAGTTCTGACAGAAAATGTTATTTCAGTCATTTTTATGCTGGCATAATTATCAAACATGTATCTTTAACAAATATCCAGATAAGGGCAAAATTTGATGAGCCACTGTGGCACTGAAATACAAATGTGAATGTATATAGAGCTTGCAACCAATTACTTCAAGAAACTCAACACAGGTTTCTGGCTTGCACTATTATCTAGTGCTGTCATAGAGATTTCACACTCCGGTTAAGCTTTTGGCTAACAGAATTTTCTGCTTTCCAGGGACTGAAACAAACCAACCTATGATATGGCACCAGTGATGCTCCTGTGTCTTAAATGCTCATATGTTGACAATTGTTGTCCCATTACAATGACCAGTCACTGTATTTTCATCATTTGATGAGGTCAGCATTAGTATCCTGGCTGATTTCAAGCCTGGTGAGGTCATTGACACCTCTGATGCAGTAGAATCAGTTTTACAACGGTTGCTAAACCATTTTTAAGATGCTCCAATGATGCTTTTTTTATAAGCAGAGGATGACATCTATACAGAGTATTCTTTAACAAGATAGCAATGAATGACCTACTGATAGGTATTCAGAAAGCTCTTCCCATGCAAAAATGTTCTGGAATGTTACACTTTTTCATCCAGCCTCTGTTACCTTTGTCAGTCAAAGAAAAATAATGTTCAGGAAATTTTTTAAAGAACATAAAGAAAAATATCTTTGCTTGGTGCTTTGGGGAGAAAACAAATCCCTCTCCACTTTAATCCTCTTTGAGATTAAGGGTTACATGCATAGAGGAACGAACACAAATCATAGTCAGTTTAGTGGCTTTTAAACCGTGTTTCAGTTTTTAAATTATATGTATTATTTTATAATTACACAACAACCATATTAGTGTCTGTCACATCTTGCTATGACTGACATCAATGCCAAAGAGGTGAAAGAATTTGGAGCTTTACATGCAGACCCAACTTCTGCTAGGAATGCTTCCTAGCTCAGTCATGTTCAGATTACAGTTTCAAGGTTGACCAATGTGTTAGATTTGTGCATGAAAGTTGAAATACTACTGAAACTCGCCTCTGACTGTGTGTTCCTCTCAAAGCTATACTCTTTTCAGGTTCTAATGTGCTTGCTTAGTGTCAACTCCGATTCAGACCCTTCTAACCAAATGGACCTTAGCTCAGATCAAAATGTCATCTCAACCACTGAGCTTTATACAGCATGGTGCCCTGGGCAGACATGTCCTAATGAGATGAAAAAGAAAAATATTAGCAAAAGTTTCTCTGTGCAACTTATCTAAGAGGAAGCTGAAAGTTCATCTACATTGTAGGCAATGCATTGTTCAGTTTCAAAATTTAAATGTAATATTTTAAAAATGTGATCTAGAAAGGCCAATTAAATTTGGGTTGTCCAGAAAACAACCTAGATGCCTAGAAAAACAACTCCTAAATCATTGAGACACTACATTTAAGCATGGAGCAGATACCCACTCTGAGTTATAAATTATGACTACCAGTCCTTTCTTAATACCAGCTTCACTGGTGTGTATCATAAAACTATTCAGTGATGCTTTGCTGATAATGTAGCTGGTAAAATGCAGTTAATTAAACTGCTCTAAGAGTATTTTTACCTTTTTCCTTCAAGGTAAAGTCTTGTACTTGATTCTCTGAAGGTATTTTTCCATTCGGTATGATACTGCTGTTTCGCTGAAAGAAAACAAATAAAGTTAGCAAAAATGCTACTATCATCAAGTAACAATGGCAGTGACATCCTTTGAAATCATTAATTCAGCAGTATAACTCTGAGATTTGTTGTGGTCTTTGCTTGATATGGATGTCATTAGTCTCCCCCCCTGCACTCTCACTCACTACAGGAAAAGAAAGGAACTTTGACTGTTTGTATGTTATGTTTCTTCTTAGTTTTATGCATTTTTTAAAAAATCTTTTATGCTATAGTGTTACTCTGTGATGTCTACACTGAAACATCTATCTACCCATGGTGTTGTAGAGTGATTCATCAAAATTCTCTCACTCAGAAGAAGGGTCCCAAAGCACAGAAAAAGGCAGTATGTGAGAAATATGTCCCTTGAGTTAACTCATAATTTAATCTCTTCTTGCTTAGGCCATTTAAGGTCATGAGATTCTATAGGAGAGAGATAAATGAAGGACGTAGAACCCCTGAGAGTCCTCCTTCCCTCCTCACCCCTTAGTTTGTATAATAGATGGCTAAACCTGGGTCCCTGTGCAAGTATTTTACCCTTTTTTGGCCCCGGTCTCGCTTGTGGATTTTATTGAGCTTCTTGGAATGGTTTATTCCTAGTTTGGTACTCTTGAAAGATTCTAAGCGCTTCCTCATTGTCCTGTGGAAAATCTCCTTGTCTTGTTTCTCATCTTCATTGTGCATGATCTCATGTCGACTGTACAGATGTTTGTGCTGTGTTCAGGAAGGGAAGACAATATTTATTTTTTTAGAAATATAGATGGAAGCATTCAATCTGTGTCATACAAATGTAAACAACTCCATTTAAAAAAAATGAACCAAAGGCTAGTTTGAAGACATTAATTAAACTCCTATTTTTCTTTATTTTTCTCCATTATAAAATAAGGGTAAATCCAGATATTAAGTACTTATGAGTGCTTGTCATTCAAAGTAAATTTCTCCCTGTAATGTCTGAATTACTTTAGTTGATACACTCAATTTAATCCTGCTTCAGAACCTATATGCAACCTTGTTCTGTGTTCCAGAGGCAAGGCACTAGTTCTGTTAAAGAGGCATGTTCATTAATGAGAAAGAATACAGATGTATTTCTCAAGGGTGCAGATTTTGCAGATGGCTTCTTTCCTTTTGAGCTTCACTCCCAAGTTTTGTTTCCTAATGTCTCCTAGTTTTAGACTGAATCTGAACACTCAATCATAGCCCTCTGCTCTCACCTCCTGCCTGGGTTTATACAGGTACTGTTGTAGAGTGTGATGAGCAACTGTGTCTTCTGTGTCCCGGATACTTTTCCTCCTCTGCTCTAAAGCTTGCATGTCAAGGCAAACTGGTCCAGCTTTTTCTCTCCTGAAGAAGAGTACAGTATAAAACCAGCAGATTTAAAAATCAGTAATTGCTGAAGAAAAAGAAAAATCAGGAAAATAGGGAGCAAGGGGAAGAAATGGAAGCTGAAGTGTTGAGGTTTTTTTTTTAAAAAAAGGTAAAAATCAGATGAATGAACATGAGTAAGCAAATACCTAATGGGAAATGTTAAAATATTGTTGGTTTTGTCTTTCAGGTAGATGTAGTTTTAATTTCTCAGCTTAAATAGCACACAGTCTGTCCAGTGAAAAAATAGTGAAAAGGTTAGGAAGGAAGCTTTTTTTTTTTCCTTGCCTTTCTTCTGTTTTTTTTCTGGAAGGGACAGAGAAAAGACATCTCACCCTGTTCTATAACAGCAGTGTTTACCAACTTGAAGTGGGAGAAAGATTAATTGAAGTTCAAAAAGGTAGGGAATTAAACCCATGTAATTTGTGTTTTTTTCATAAAGTTTCCATTTTCTCACATACACCATAAAAAAAATACCAAAAAAACCCAACCAAACAAACCCAACCAAAAGAAAAACAACAACAACAACAAAACGCCAAACAAAACCACAAAGCTGAAAACAAACCCAAAACCCCATAATTGGTCTACATTACTTACAGTAAATAAGAGACAGATGTTTCCACAGTACTTGGGCGTGGGGTGCTGAAATCCACATTTACCATGTTGTCTGTACTTGGAGAACGTATAAATGCTAAGGAACCTCTACGTTCTCCCTGGCCACAGAAAGAAACAAGTTACAGTACAACTGTAAACATCTAGGGCAAAATGTGTATCAGAAAATGAAGATAATTTGTGATGCTGCTGTATGCAAATGGCATAAGAAGCAGAGTAGAACTTGCATTTAAGTAACAAATAAAACCTTTTTTTTGTTTTTATAATTTCTTTACATTGACTGACATCCCAATGAACAAAGCTAGGAGAAAGACCCTTCCGCTTTTGTGATTTTATTTTGAGGAGATGAGTGATTTCTTAATCCTCAAGCAGTTTGCAAATTATATCAATGCACTTTTACAGTCTAATTCTTTTCTTTTCACAGACCCTGTTAGGGCTTGACCTTTTATTTTGTACTGCACTGCAAGCCACTGTACTGTACTGCATAAGGATGTCTATGCAGATTTTTATGACTCAAGACATCACTGCACTAATGGTAGCATTTTCAAAAATACAACACTAAGTATTCTGTTCTCTCCCAGACTGGAAGCAGCAAATCTTAAGTGGTGGTAGAAGTCTACAAAACTGTTTGAAAGAGGTTAGAGAATGAAGAGATGAGATGCTGAAGGGATGAGATTTGCCTTAGTTCTAAAACTGGTGGCACAGAAGTGAATTGCAGAAGTTCAGAAACTGTCTCCAGTAGTGTCTTCAAGTACTTCTTGTGTAATCTCTAGTTTAGGGGGGGGTTGAAGTGACATCATAGCTATATGAGCTGAAAATATCTATGGTTTCGAATCACAGCTGAGAGAAATCACATAGCAGGTCTCTACATTTTAAACTGTAATAAAGAATACACTAAGAAAAACCATCTCCTTTGCAGAATATTGAAAGATATTTTATCTGCATTTATCCAACTTCAATTGTATTGTGTTCTCTTTACATTTTTATATTATTAGGGCAAATCAAACAGATGTTTCCTTTTACTGCAGGTGCCCACATACATGTCAACAGCAGTATGTGTTGGATCAGATCTGTGGCATTAAAAAGTACACTCTGGCCTCTGTAGACAGAAAACTTGAGGGGAAAAAAAATAAATTCTGAGACAGCATCATCCTGTCCATTTTCTTTAGTGCATCTGACTTTGTTTTCAAACCAAATTTAGTATTTCGAACATACATCATACCATATAATTAGTGGAGGAATTTTTAACCAGAAGAAGTTATGAACTCTGTTTTATGAACTCTAAGTATTTTGAGTTGCTTCTATTCACTTATTCTGTGTTATTTTCAGGTTGCCTCTCCTCAGGCTCTCTCCTCACCACAGTAAGGAATTTATTTAGGTTCAGACTGAACTCCCTCAAAGTGTTGTTTGTTGTACAGATGCACCATAACAGCAGAGTTGAAAAAAAGACAAATTTATAAAATACTTTTTTAAACTCCTGAGTTTCTTGCAAGTGAAAAGAGAGCAAGTAGCTGGGGGTAGCAGATATTTATTCCTCCTGAAAGAAATGGCTTTCTTTCCAATGTCAGTTTGTAAGTCACAGATAACTAGCTCAAAAATATATTTCAAAAGTCAAGTAAAATTTGTTAGAATAGTGTATCATTGAAGCAGGTATTAAAACGAGAAACTTTAGTATTCACAACTCATGACTGATCAGACATAATTTATTTCATTGGAAGAATCCATGTTGCAAATCTTTTGTAGAACTGGAGAACTTTTAATTTATTTGTCTAGTATTATCAGATCAATAAACATCCACCAATAGAATTTGTCTGCAAGACACAATATATACAAATAGTATTTGAACTAGGGTAGGCAAAGTTAGTTTCCTTGTGTTATGAACTGTAGTAAGGCATAATGAAAAAGGCAACTCTCCTAAAAAAATAATAATTTCATTTAATCTGACATTACTATATGGGATTAAGGACACTATTGGATAAATAATCTGAGTCTAAATCTGCATGACTTAGTGAATTTTGGAGACCTTTGCATCTCTTTTAAGAGAAAAAATACTGTAACGAATCTATGTAACAGATTCAGCAGTAAATCTGAACATGAGTCTCATGTTCCTCAACATCGAAGTAGTTATCTAACTTTCTTCCTCTGAGGTATGACCTAGAAAGCACCATGAGAGAGGAAATTAGTTCCTCAGATTAAATGCTGTGAAAACTGAAAGGGTAATTTACCAAATCTCAAAAGGACATATATGTTTATCTTGCGATCCAGTCCCCATTTTTCACACTAACATAATTTCTGAATTTAATTTTATTTTCTGAATTTGGTCTTTGAAATACCATGTTTCACTGAAAGATGCCTGCCTGGCTATAGCTCATTTTCTGTAAAGGAGAAGAGAATAGTAATAGTATCAGTCACACTAATATTGTTTGTTTTGATTAAATTAATGAATTGGTTTATCACCTAGCTTTGAAAATGAGTTCAACTGGAGGTTGTGTGCATAGATAGATTACCAATTCAAAGATTAATTTTAAAATGTTCAAAATATTCTATTTGTAGCTTTCTTCTAAACTGTATGAATAATGCACATCTGTGTTGATTTGAACTAAGGTGACCAGTTTCATACTGAAGAAGATTAGCAGCTCTTTCACAAACTGCTAACATTACTCCGATCTGGGAATGGTATTCCTGCAGAAGGCCAGTAATTTTCTTCCATTCTGTAACCTAAAAATTTTCTCCTGTTTCAAGTCTTTAGTTTCTCTAAATGTCACAATTGTGTGACTGTGTTTGGTATCTGCAGTATAGCACTTTAACCCTAATTTTTGAAGTGTGGGTGGTATAATACCTTTGAATTAAAGTTACCCTTCCCAGTTTTTTAGTACTACAGTGATCTGGCAGAATGAGATTATCGCAGTCCAGTACTTTGGTCATATAACCACACCATTTGGAAGTGAGCTTCTTTAAAATCAGTTTTCTCATCATATAGAGCCACTGTGCTGCAGGAGGCAGACTCTGTTGACCACATTTAGAAATATAGTAGTTTGCCTGAACCCTTTGGAATTACAGTATTTTTAAATGTGATGAATATAGAAACAAAGTTATTCAGTATAACCCAAAATTCATCACACGTAAAAATATTGTAATTCCAAAGGGATTAATACTGAGAATTACAGCCACTCAAACAGGTGATATTGAGAATCAAAACATCTCTAGGAAAAAAGAAGGGGGGGGGAAGAAAAGAAATTACAACAGTTTTCTTTTAGACATCTCCTGCTATATATCAAGTTTAGATTATACATTTTAAATTAAACAAAAAAACAAACAAACAAAACAAAAAACACCAACAATCCATAACCCAAATAAAACTATAATATGTCAACAAGTGTGCATAAGTACCTCAGCTACATAGCTGATTGCATCCTTCAAGTTGAGTTCATGGAAAACATTAAGGATCTGGTCTCTTGATTTTTGAGCAGATCTTCTCATCAGTACTTTACTGAGGAGCTTCCTATCAAAATTGGACCACCTGATAATTTAAACAAACTGTGTAAATTACAACAAGCAGTTTTAGTTCCACAGCATTTTTAGTTTAGCATAAATTATATTTTTGTGAGCTAAGCATTTTTTAAAAAATTATGAACACATCAATGTGAAGTATTTGTGGTTTGAAGCTTTTCAATTAACATTTAAAGAAAGTTAAGGAAAAGCCTATTACGGAGTTATGTAGCTGTCACAAAGCATTTCATAGCTTCATTTACAAACACTACTGCAATGGCAAGAGTACTACACAGTATCCCATTTCAGAGTCAATAGGACATTTTATACTCTGGGAGATCATGATACCTTATTTTTCCACTTCTGATTATGCAGTGTTATACTGAATGGCTTCATTCTAAATGTTTAATTTTCATTCCTTCTTTGGAAGGGAATCTGCTTTCCCTCAGCTGTATTGTAGGACAGCCAGCCTAGAAAATCGGTTAACAAACAGCGCCCTTCTAAAACCACTTACCAATATGCCTTATTCATGCCATTGATGTTAAGTGGTTTTAGAAGTGATGTGTATTTCTAAGCCTGTCTGATAGGAGGATGATTGCCGTTTTATATTTAGGCTCTGGATAATAAAGGCTGCTTTACTTCCAACTGCCTTCCCCAAGATTTTCTCTAAAGGGCAGGAGGCAACTTTGGGCACTACTATTCGAAGTTATTCTATCCATCTTGCCGAATTACTATTGTGTACAACTTCTTATTTGGATTGTTTGAATATCTTTGTTGATAAACATTATTCACAGAATTGATAATTATTCCCCATCCCTTGCCAGAATGTCTGACAAGTGGTCTCTAGTTCAGACTGCTTCACCTGAGCACATAAGTGAGGATGTTAGGGGCTGCCATTTCTTAAAGACAGCAGCACATTCATACACATGTAGTCCAAAGAAGCCGACTTAGGGTGGCCTCATCCAAAATACATTAGATTAGTCGTCAAGCCACAAATTTAATCATGAATCTACATTAAGCTATTCTTTCTCTTGTTACTAAGGCATATTACTTTCTAAGAGGGTAGATTAAGACTAGATATAAGGAAGAATTTTTTTACAAAGAGTAGTCAAACACTGTAAAAGGTTGCCTCGAGAGGTGATAGAAACCACATCCCTGGTAACATTCAAGGTCAGGTTGGGTGGGGCTCTGGGCAACATGATCTTTTTTAAGATGTCCCTTCTGACTGCAGGGGGTTGGACCAGATGACCTTTAAAGATCCTTACCAACCCAAACTGTTCTATGATTCTACAATCTAAAATGTCAGACCCTAATCTGCTGCTTTGAAAATATTTGACTCCATCTGCAAGACAGTATTTCAAAACTTGTACTATAACCTACTGAAATTTATTAGCAAAATGGGAACTTGAGGGCAAGGCTCTCAATGTAAATTACCTGGACCTTTGTAAAGCCTTTGATACTGTTTCCCACAGCATTCTCCTGGACAATTGGTTATATATGGCTTAGACCAGTGCACACTTTGCTGGGTAAAAAAACTGGCTGGATGGCTGGGCCCAGAGAGTTGTTATTAACGGAGTTAAATCCAGCTGGTGGCCAGTCATGAGTGGTATTCCCTAGGGTTCAGTGTTGGGACCCGTTCTGTTTAATATCTTTATCAATTATGTGAACAAGGGGATCTAGTGTACCCTCAGTAAGTTTGCAGATTACACTAAATTGGGAGGGAGTGTTGATCTGCTTGAGGGTAGGAAGGCTTTACAGAAGGACTTGGACAGTCTGGATTGATGGGCCAAGGCCAAATGTATGAAGTTCAACAAGGCCAAGTTTTGGGTCATGCACTTTTATCACAACCAATCCATGCAACACTACAGGTTGAAAGCTATCCAGAGGAAAAGGACCTAGATGTGCTGATTGACAGCCAGCTGAATATGAGTCAGCAGTGTGCCCAGGTGGCCAAGAAGGCCAACAGTATCCTGGCTTGTATCAGGAACAGTGTGGACAGCAGGAGTGGGGAAACAGTTGTGCCTCTGTACTTAGCACCTTGAGTACTGTGTTCAGTTTAGGGCCCCCCACTACAAGAAAGACACTGAGATGCTGGAGCAAGTCCAAAGAAGGGCAACAAAGCAGGTGAAGGGTCTGGAGAACGTGTCATATGAGGAGTGGTTAAGGAACTGGGGTTGTTTAGTTTGGAAACAGGAGACTGAGGGGAGGGAGACCGTATCGCTCTCTACAACTACCTGAAAGGAGGTTGTAGGGAGGTGGGGGTTGGTGGTCTCTTCTGCCTAGTAACAAGCAACAGGACAAGTGGAAATGGTCTCAAGATGCACCAGGAAAGGTTTAGACTGGATTTTAGAAGAAATTTCTTCATTGAAAGGGTTATCAAATGCTGGAATAGGCTGCCAAGGGTGGTGGTTGAATCAGCATCCTTGGAGGTATTTAAAAGATGTACAGATGTAGTGCTTAGGAACATGGTTTGAGCACTGGACTTGGTAGAGTTGGGTTAACGGTTGGACTCGATGATCTTTACGGTCTTTTCCAACCAGAACAATTCTGTCATTCTGTAAATAATTAGACCAGATGGAAGAGGATGTTCTATTCGGGAAGCCTCATGAAAATTCTTCATTACATTAATGAACAAGAGCAAAAGGAAATTGAGACTGTCTCTATAATTAGGTACAGTCAGGTGAGCAGTTCTGCTTCAGTTCGGACGAAGTCTAGTTCCAGCCTAGTAGTTGTATAGTTATATGAGCATAATGCTCAAGTTAAGCTTCTCAACAAGGGTTAGGGAAGTACTCTGCAGAATGCTAACACAACCACATGGCTTTTGGATTGGAATTAATATGTCTAGTTAACAGGACATTAGTGGGTTGGAACTATGACTATCTGCACCTATGAAATTAGCTAACTCCGGGGAGAGAAGGACCTCCTAACCTTAAATAACACTCCAGATTTCATGTCCTTTTTTTCACACGTATTCATCTAGAGAATGGAAGTCTTGCCCATCACAATGGTAACTCTTCATGTGTATTTCAAAGAAAATGGTGTCTGTATTTTTCAGCTGCATTTCAGTCTGCATTTTTCACTTCTCTCAAGATCAACCAACTATTAACAGAGGAGGATGGAAGTGATCCATAATGTTCATTATTGATTTCAAACTAATCAGCTTAAATTTCAAGGCACCTTCTGCCACCACTTTCAGAGGTGTTGAACATAACCTTTGTACAAATAGGATAAACAGCTAGTACAATCATGATAGATACATTTTTAGTGTTTACACATACAAATAAAGTTTATAAGAAGGAGTATTTCAGAGAAGGATCAACATCAATATTTTAGGTTAAATCTGTGTGGTACTGGCCAGTTCTCAAATCTTGAGATCTCTGAATGTGAACTGAATCAGCAGTGTGCCTGGGTGGCCGAGAAGGGCAAAAGCATCTCCTGACCTCCATCAGAAATAGTATGACCAGCAGGAGTAAGGAAGCGATCATGCCCCTGTACTCAGCACTGCTGAGGCTGCACCTCGAGTATTATGTTCAGTTCTGGGCCCCTCACTACAAGAAGGACCTGAAAGGAAGCTGAAAGGAGGTTGTAGTGTGGTGGATATTTGCCTCTTCTCCCAGGGGAAGGGAGTCATAATAGGACTATAGGAAATGGCCTGAAGTTTCACCATGGGAGGTTAGGTTTAGACTGGATGTTAGGAAGAGTAGCTTTACCAAAAGAGTAATCAGGCACTGGAACGAGGTGCCCAGAGAGGTGGTTAAGTCACCATCCCAGGAGGCATTCAAGAAATGTGTAGATGAGACACTTCAGGGCAGGTGCTAGTGGGCAAGGTGGGTTTTTTGTGGGTTGTTTGTTGTTGGGTTTGTGGGATGTGTGATTGTGGTTTTGTGTGGGTGTTTAGTTTGTTGGTTTGCATTTTTTTTCCTGGGTGGATAGTTAGACTTGGTGATCTTAGAGGTCTTTTCTAATTGTGACAATACTGTGATTCTGTGATTTGTGAATGCCTGATCTGAACTGTGGAAGAAAAAGATTCCAGTTGTAGAGGACAAAAGTCGCTGTTTTCACATTTTCTATATTTCCAGTATTTTCAGTATATGGAATCATAGAATGGTTTGGGTTGGAAGGAACCTTAAACATCATCTAGTCTCTGCATGGGCAGAGACACCTTCCACTAAATCAGGTTGTTCAGAGCCCCATTCAACCTGCTTGGGAGAGGGCATCCACAACTCCTCTGGGCAACCTGTTCCAGTGTCTCACCACTCTCATATTGAAGAATTTCCTCCTAATGTCTAATCTAAATATCCACCCATGCAGTTTGAAAGAATTACCCCCTGTCGTGTTGCTACAAGCCTTTGTAAAAAGTCCTTCCCCAGCTTTTCTGTAGGCCCCTTCAAGTACTGGAAGGCCACTGTAAGATCTCCCCAGAGCCTTCTCTTCAGGCTGAACAACCCCAACTCTCTCAGCCTGTCTTCACAGGAGAGGTGCTCCAGCCCTCTGATCATCTTCATGACCCTGCTCTGGACTTTCTCCATGAGCTCCATGTCCTTCCTATTTTGGGGGCTCCAGAACTAGATGCAATACTCCAGGTGGGGTCTCAAAAGAGCAGAGGTGCAGAATCATTTCCCTTGATCTGCTGGCCATGTTTCTTTTGATGCAGCCCAGGATATGGTTGGCTTTCTGGGCTGCAAGCACTGGTTGCCTGCTGATGCTGAGCTTCTCGTCATCCAACACCCCCACATCCTGCTCTTCAATACTGCTCTTAGTTCATTTTCTACCCAGCATGTATTTGTGCTTAGGATTGCCACTCATCATTGTGCAGGAACTTGCAGTTGGCCCTGTGGAACTTTTATGTAGAACCTTTTAAACTCCATTTTTACATCCTTGCTGTCTCTAAGCTCTTAGGCTTACAAAGTTTTCATTTACAGATAAGATTTCCTAGCAGTATTTCAACATTCCAAGTTAGTTACTACTTACTTGTCTCTCAGATAGTTATGTCCTATTTGTCCGGAAATGTCTTCTACAGCAGAAAGAATGTGATCAAAGGCCTAGGAAAGCAGAAGCAGAATTAGTATATTTACATAATTAGAAAATAGTTCAATATATGTCAGATTAGACCAGGTGACTACACAGAATATTTTTAATGCTGCTAAGAAGGTTTGGTTTTTTCCTCATCTACAGAAATACAGACTATGATCTACATTTCTTCAAAGGTCCTGAGCTTTCCAATAATTTCTTTACAAATTCAGTAACTAGTCTTGAATTATAAGGGTATCAGCGAAAAGGTACTTTAGTCCCTATTTTAACATTCAATTTTAAGAATCTTTCTGTCAACTTATTTTGCCATCTCCAGTTTTGCCTTGTGAAATATATCAGCCACTGTTAGTGTTGGTGATTAAATAAGTTGAAAAATTTTCCTAGAGTTTTTTTAGGTTTTTCAGGAATCCATGCTTCCCTCAGAGTAGAAATAGGCAACATTTGTTTGCTATCTAGGGCAAAATCCTATAGTCAGTATATTAGATGACTGATAGAAATCCTGAGGTTTTTTAGAGTTTTGTCATTTTCTGTATATGGTTGTTAATATTTCACTCTCAATAATGGATTGATTACTGCAGAATATACAGCATGGTAGGTTTAGAAGAACATGATTGATACAGATTATTCCTGAATATAATATTAATTACTGCCTGAGGATATATCTGACATGGAAGTGGAGAAAAATATATTGAAAATGTCTCCCTCCTACTCCCTGTGAATAGAGAGTGCCCTCCTCTCTATAACTGAAGCATAATGTTTTTATTCAGTACTCGGTGGAAACAAACCGTGCTCTTTACTGAGGTGTTAATTCATTTCAGGTAACCTCTAACATCAAAACAGGAAAGATTAGAAGCTCATAAAAGAATGTGTTAAAATACTCAGTGCAGGATAGCTGTGTAAATATGAAAAGTTTCTGAATTAAAGAAGGCTGTGAAAGGTGTCTTACAGTCTTCTTGTCCTTTAACCCATATTTGTAATTAAAATATATGTTTTCTTTTACTGAACAAAAACTTTATAATGTGCGAAAGGGAATGGAAGAGAACATGTTTCAAAATCTTTTATAAAGTTAAGGAAATGTAGGCACACACAGCATTCACACTGAACCAAAACTATTACCATTAATCTGGAATGTCAGTATATCATTAACGTCTGCACTTCGCAGGAGACTACAGCAGACTACCTTCCCATGATTACATGGGAAGATGCAAGATACAAAGTCTGATTGCATGCCTTTTCTATAAATACAAAATATTTAAGAAGGAAAAATAAACTTACTTCCACATGTTTTGTCCTAGTGATATTTAATCAAATATTCATCTATTTCAGATCAAGAGAAGGTAGCATATTCCAGCCATGCAGTTTCCCCAGCACTGTCAGCACTATTCAATTCCCAACTGAAAGACCAGAACCTTCTGCTGTGTACCCCCTCACAAGACTAATCCCAAAGACAATTCACAGCCTACAGATAATCTTTGGAATTTGGAGGACTTGCATGTTTGAAGGATTTTGTACTTGAAATTTTTTTCCCTCCCTGCCAAAAGGCACTCTGTAAAATCCAAAAGATACCATAGTTTGTTTCTTTTTAAATATCTTACTCTGCCATGAAGTTTCTCATTCAGTTTTGGATCTCTGTGTTCAGTTTTCTTCACTTTCAGCCACTGTACCAAAGGTTTGATAGTCAGTCCCTAAGAATATAAATATGATAATAAATACTTATGAATTATCTTAGATTTCCTACCAGCTGGTCATTGTTAAAGAGAAATAGAGCATTTTTGTATGTTATATGGTGGTTCTTATACTTCCTCAGTTGAACTTTGTCCCCCTAAGAAGACAAAATAATGCAGTAACCCCAGCTCCTGTTACAAAGGTTTGGAAAGACACCAACCAGGGAAAAGATAAATCTTCTATAAGAAAAATATGGTAGCAGAAGGGTGAAAACGTTTCCTATAGTATCGAATGTGATATTTTCTGCATATATCAGGTGTTTGTGACCACATTTAAACTTTCTATAATAAATGTAGGAAAAAAATCCAAGCTGGTATGTATTGACGTATCTCCATTTAAGTTAATGTTGTTTTTTCATCCAGAAAATGTTATTTTGTTTGGATGCTAAATACTCTCTTATCCCAGTACTTACAGTTATATTTTTTAAAAAGCACTTAGGCTCAGGTAGATAGTTTTGCCCATAAAAAGGACTGTTTCCTATAGTTATTCACGTGAGATAAAGACCGTTTAAACAGATACTAACTTGAGCACTATTAATACCAAATGCTAAGACTGAACATTTTTTAGCACAGAGGAAATCATGTTTGGCCTCTCATGGTGCTATATGAAAACATAAATAGGATCTTCGTTACTAAAATTACAAATTCAATTATGCTTTCAGTTGAGTGAAACAATAAGCAACCTTCAGCTGAGAACTGCTTTAAGCATTTGATACTTTAAAGGGACTCCTTCTCCTTGCCAGAAACATGCTTAAGAAGTTGAATTACCTGAAAAATAACAGTAAAAAACACAACAATGATAGTTGTGCTGACAAACAGGTTTTTCTCTTTCACTTTATTCTCATCCAGAAGTACAACCAGAGCAAAAGCAACCGCTCCACGTAGTCCACCATATGACATCACCACCTGGTCTATTATCTCCAACTGGACCATTCTGTAGTGGTTAAGAATCCATGTCTGTAAAACTACACCTACAAGAAACAAATTCCAGCATGTCTAGAAATACTTTTACAAAATGTCAATATCCCAACTGTGTGTAGCAGAAATGGTACCACAATTCTGCTTTCATAACAAATTCTCTACCCCACCTACTTCTTTCTCTGTATTACTACACTGCCAAGGAGGGCAGGCCCACTTCATACCTTCCCCACTTCGTACCTTCCCCTTTATGCTTAGCTAAAGGAATTAGACGAATCTTCTGTCAGTGAGTCAGCATCTCATCTGACAGTGCTGCCCTCTGGCGTGGGCACTGCAAGTGGAATTCTGCTATGTGCTGACCTTTGAAATTCATAGTTGAGAAGCAACAGAATTTCTAGCATCATAGTCAGTGACAGACTTGATCTTAATGGTCTTTTCCAGCCAAAATGATTCTGTGACTCTATGACATGCATAACAGAAAGACAAATTGGTGGAAACAGTATTGATTTAAGGAGTAACTGTGGTACTCTTTACAAATCACTAAAAATTACTTTTGTGTCATCATCTTACGGAGCGCTGTGTACTTATGGTAACACAGTATTTAAGCTTACAGGTGAGATGCTGCCTGTTGCAGGAGACCTAAAGCTCCAGAAATCACATCTCCCAGAGCTCCCTCCATACAAAAGGAGGGAGCTGTGTGTCCCACTGCAGCAGGCCAGAACTGTTCACCCGTAGAAAAGAGATGCTTCTCTTTTTAGTGAACTTTGAACTTTTGCTAAATGAAGAGTGTCTTGTGTATATCAATATAAGTGAGGTTTCTGGTGGAGGAGACCAGAAAAATCAATCCATGCCACCAATCTGACTCCTCCAAGGGTGTCAGAGCTGCAACTACCTAAGGCCCTACATCATCAGGTCTTTAGTAATTTATCAATGTCTAAGCTCAATTTCTTTAATGGATGTCTATTGTTATTGATTAATATTTACTATTTAATTATTGATCACACCTATTACAGGATTGTTAACCCCTCACTCCAGGAATAAAAGTGACAATGTCAAGATACTGAAAAATTGGTAAAACATCTCATGAACATCAGCAGTTCCTGAGAGGTGGCTAAATGAACAATAGCTATTGACCATTTAAAAAGGAGGACATGGGCTAAAACCTTCATTCACTCCAGGAATCTGTAGGCAGAATAAGAATATAGTCTAGCAAAACACCCAGCTATACAGATGTTACCTTTTATTTGAATTTAACTCAAGATAAACAGGCAAATAAACACATTTAATTTATTCCCAGGTGTAAGTACATACACCAACTCACTCAGTGTGTTGCTCTGTAGAAGTACTTCATTCTGTGATTTTAGTCCCTGTATTATTTCACAAAACAGTGAAGTAGAACTACATAGTTGGGCAAATCTTCATTGGTATTTTGAAATGTTTGCTAACTTACATAAATGCAGTAAATTGACAGTAAATAATCCCTACCTACCACAGTCTTATTTACTCAGTTTTTCTCCATCCCTGAGAGTTATCTTAAGCCAGAGAACCTGTGGTGTAATTATATATGGTCTTACATCACCATGTTTCTCAAACCTGAAGTCAACCATAAAATAAGCTTAAGACAATCTCTTTATTACCAAACGGAAACAGCTGAAAGAAAGAGATGGCTGACAGGACTCATCTAGTCTGTTAGGCTGCAAGTTAGAGAACAAAGTCCATTTTGCTAGGAGATTTTGCCAATACCTAGTGCTAGGTCTACAAAGGTTAGCCACTGGGTGACTCCTGTGATCCACTAGGCTAGTCATATTCTCACGTTATTAAAAGTCAAATCCTACTATCAACATATGATGACTGTAGACAACTGTAGACAACTGTAGACATCTACCCTCATAACCCAAAACCAACCATAAATTTAACTAAAATAAACTGAAGATTTTGAAAAGAAAAAGTCTAGAAATCCAAATTATTGTTTTCTGTCATTCAGCTTTTGGTTGTGTGGGGTTTTTTTGTTTCTGGTCATTGGTTTTGTTGGGATTTTTTTGAAGAATATGTGATTACATCAGCAATACAATGCAAGGCCAAGAAAAAGCTTATCTGCTTACCAATAATTCTGTATAATGAGATGAAAACCAGAGTCAATAGAATAAATGCTGTATTCCAAGTCCAGATTTTTGGATTTACAGCTGAAATTCCCAGGAACATGAAGATAATAGTTTCTGCACCACTGGCCATCATCTTCATGGTGTATCTTACAGTTGTAGAAGATTGTTCGGATATGTTAGCCTTGACATATTTCTGACAGCAGATGCCACAGAAAGTTATCCTAAGGAAAAAAAAGCAAACACCAAAAACAATTGTTCCAAAAATATTTGTTGTGGCATTTAAATGTTTTTCCAGCTGTCTGTGACATAGTGATAAATATCCATCATTAATTCCAAAGAAAAAATGCATCCAGGAGCCCTCATGGAGTTTAATCTAGGTTAAAAGCATATCTCAACCATTCATCCTGTCGTGACCACAAGAGGTCTGAAGACAGCATTTCATTAGATTGTAATAAACCTTAATTCTCCTCATATTATCATATCACTTTACATGCAAATTTTTTTATCTTGTTTACCTTAGACATAATCTTAAACTAATGATCTGTCTTCAGTAAGAATTTAATATCATGAATATAATCAATGTGGCATCTACAAACAAGAGAAGGAAAACTGAAAAGAAAAATATGCCAGGAATCAATGGAAACTAAATGAAGACAGACCACAGAGGTACTCAAGCCGAAACAGGCATGATTTAAGCAAACCTTAATAGGCCAGTGTAGACAGTGAGAGCAGCAAATAAGGGTCATTCACACCATGCCTTAGAAAATACTGGGTTTATTACAAATTATAGGGAAAAATGTAAATACAAATGGACAGCTGTTACTTATTAATCACAAAACTGGAAAGAGTAAAGTCTATTTTTCAAAGGAAGTTCTCATGTTATACAGCAGATACTGGAAAGCTTGAATTCCTTTACAAGGCTGGGTGACAGTATTTGCAAACTACTGCAGTGTGAAGATAGCAATATTCAGAATAAGCTTCATGAATGTCAAATTCCATAGCTGTCCTATGTAGTTTAGGTCTTTATTTCTATGTTTTTTAAAAAACACATTCCCTTCTCAGACCCTTCATAGACAATAATAAATAGACTTACGCAAGGATAGGAGAAAGCGAGAGCATCTCAGCTGTGAGGTAGGACAGATAGGAAATGATAAACACAAATCCAGGTTCAATGATTCTCACGTGCTTGGTGAAACGACTGACCAATGAGAGCAGGAAGGCAAAGAAAATGCCAACCAGTGTCCCACCCAGGCTAACCACAAAGAATGACACTGAAAAACAAAACCAAACAGAGCTTTAACAATAGAAATAGAGTGGTTTGGACTAGTTCTCTTCTATTGTATGATGAGCAAAATAGAGAAAATTTTGGGGGACATGTAAAAAATTATTTCTAAAATGGAACAACATAATTGCTTTTGAGCACTTGGTACATGTATGCAGCATTCTGTAGGACAATCAAGTTTACTTTCTCTTAAGCTTCATCATTTTTGGCTTATTCAAAACTCTCTACATTCCTTTGAAAATTTTTTTTCCATGTTCTATAAACAAATGCTTTTCCAAAAGCGTATTAGAGAATATGTCAAAGTCACTGTTAAAACATTGATTGGTAAGACAATGTAGCATCATGTCATGATTGGAATGGGAAATTACGATTAAATTTTTAGGTAAATAACATTTATTTACAGTCACTGGCAAACTTTACTTGATGGCAAACAGTAATAAGGAGTGAGAATGCCCATATGCAACCTTCTGGAATGTAGAGAGAGCACAGCCTGAAACTCTTTTAAAATACAAAGAAAATATGTATAGCTGTCAATTTTAGTGCTCTTAAGAAGTGAACTCCACATCTGTTTGGAGTCCTCAGAAGAAAGCAAATCTAATTAAGTACCCCAGATATTCAACAATATTCACTTATTTAAGTGCACAACAATAACAACAACAACAATAATAATAATACTTTGATAAAAAATCTACCTAAGTACATCAATTATATGGTACAGAATTAAATTTACACACCTATGCCTTTGACACATTCAATCCCCGTCACATTCTCTTGACCTATATTAACAAAAGATTCAAACACATTGTACAGCACCTGAAAAGAAAAGTAGACTAATTTAATATTAGCTTATTAATTAAGCCTATTGATACAATCTCATTTTGGGCCCCAACATTATGTATTCTGAAATTATATATGATCAAGGGAAATTATATGTGGAGGGAGTAGATTTTGAAGATTTTTTTATTTTTCAAAGTGGAAAAAATGCAGCAGAGCAAGAAGTAATTTAAAAAGAGAACAAAACCATCTTTCCATTTCTTATTTCAATATAATTTCTATCTATAAGAAGTATTGTTACATCTAGATGTATTTTCTAAAGCACTTCTCTCTCTAAAATCCAGGTGCCTGACAGATTTATTTAATCACCCATATAAGATAAATAAGACACTTACTTGTACTAAAGCTTTTTAAATAATCAAATAACAGTGATAGTGTTTACAGTAAAGAACTTATCCTATCCGTACACCTGCCTGAGGGTAGTATGAGCATCATTCTTGACACATGCCTGTCTAATGTATTCTGAATTCCTCCAGTGATGGAGGAGAACTTTACTATGGCTTTTTCAGTTTTCCTTGTAGCTAAGCTGGTTAATTTTCATCATATATGTCCGAGTCATGTCATACAGGTTACTTTGTTCTGTAACAGTAGACTTTTACATATTTAGGTTTAAAGAATCATAGGATCATAGAAGGATTTGGGTTGGAAAGGACAGTAAATACCATCTAGATGCAATCCCCAGCACAGGCAGGGACACCTCACAGTAGATAAGGTTGCTCAGAGCCCCATCCAATTTGCCTTTGAATACTTCCAGAGGTGGAACTTCCACAATTTCTCTGGGCAACCTGTTCCAGTGTCTTACCACCCTCACACTAAAGAATTTTTACCTAATGTCTAATCTAAATCTCCCCTCCTTCAGTTTTAATCCATCACCCCTTGTCCTCTCACTACAAGCCTTTGTAAAAAGTCCCTCCCCATCTTTCCTGTAGGGCCTCTTCAGATACTGGAAGGCCACTATGAGGTCTCAACAGAGCCTTCTTTTCTCCAGAGTGAATGCTACATCATCCATTTTCTTCTGTTCTCCAGTCTTTCTTTTTTCAAGATAAGAACTCTAATTGTTTCAAACTTTTTCATAGGCTGTTCACTCTTTTCTGGATTTTCTTCAACAATCAAACTGCCTTTCATTTGTAGAATCAGATTTTGTATTAATTTCACAATGACAAAAACTCCTTTCCTTATGAAAGCCAATGATGTTGGTACTTGAGTTCATCAAGGGGTTTTATTTTAATATCTGTATCTGTTAATACCCCAAAAGCAATAATGAGACTGATATCTTAAGACAATTAGGTTTCTTTGAAGGAGCCAAATAACATTTTTAAAGTCATGTGAATAGTAAGGCTGCTGCTGGTGACCTTGCAGTGCCTTGCTGCCTTGGTTGCAAAAAATGAAGTTACTGAGCCTGGTAGACCTCTCTTACCCTCCTTTGGAGCTAAACAGAAGCAAGAATAGGAAATGACACAACTCAGTTGCATAGCACCTTTTTGCTATAGGACTTCCTGGTCCCTGCCACTAGCACTGTATGAGAAAACTATTTATTCTTTTACTCAGAGGAAAAAAAAAAAAAAAAAGTGTGAAAATATGTTTCAGCCAAAATAAAAACAACAGTAGAAATTTGGGATTGTTTTAATTCTATTAAGTTTTACTTTTCTATCTAAAGAAAAAAAAAAACAACAAACAAAACACAACAAACAAAACCACCCAAGAAACCAAACCAAAAAGAAAAACCCAGAAATTAGCGCTACCAAAAAACCCAAACAAAAGCAGAAATATATATTTATTTATTTATTTTTTTCCCAAATTGGCTCTTTGTTATGTATCTGTTTGATAAAGATTGAAGTAAAAGAGGAGGAACAGGCATAAGCACTTTGGGAAATAATTTCTCTCTCTCACTGAGGTATGCATCTAACTTGTGGGCATAACAGAAGTATGCAGAAAAGATATATGCATCAAAAAATCACAGCAAGAAAGGTTTCAAATCACTGGAACTGATTTTAGTAAGTCATGATAGCCCTACTTGAACACCAAAGGTAAATACAACATCCACACCTGAAACCATTTTAAATGGTTTTATGCTCATCCAGCCTAGGACTGTATATTTTCTGTCACTTATGGGCTCCAAATAACTATGGAGCTCAAATATATATTTACTCTTTGCAATACAGTGTTGCAAGCAAGACAGAACATAGTGAACTATGCTACACTAGCCCATGAGTTGATGTAGATGATATGCTATTTTATTTAAGAGGAAAATAAACTTCTGAAAAAAATGTTTGGGTGATGTTGGGATATATAAATTACTTACCACAGTTACAGCATCATTCAGAAGTGATTCTCCAAAAACAATGATGAACAGAACTTCATTGACATGGACTTCTTCAAACACTGCAAGAACCGCTACAGGATCCACAGCAGCAATTAAGCTGCCAAACAGGAGGAAGTCCAGCAGTCCAATGTCTAGGTGGCCTTCAGAAACAAAGGAAACAAAGTATAAGCAGACTCAATTCCGTATTATCTATAGTAGTGACAGACTATTAAATTACAGATCACGCAAAATCATTGAAAATAGGGATCCTAAGGGCATCAACTGGAAAGCATGGCACAGAAATACTCAACAAGTTTTGTTGAGTATTTGTTGAGTGTCACATTGTGTCCTACAAGGCTTTTGTTGAGTATTTGTTGAGTGTTTGTTGAGTGTCACATTGTGTCCTACAAGGCTTGTTGGATCCAACATTTATTCTGGGATCAACACCGACTTGTTCTTGAGACAAGGCACTTCAGAAATGTATTTCAAGATCTAACCTGGTTTTGTATTTGTATGTGGTATGGTTTATCAAACTTGAGTAAATAATCTCAGGATAACTGAGAACTGATGGTAAGAGGAATATGCCAGTACTCCTAAAGTGAATGTTCCAAAAGAATTCATGCCACAGGACAAATTTGACTCTTGGTTGCTACACTGGGATTTAACTGCACTCCGAGCAGTTAAAGACCACTTATGGCCTCCTTGTTAAAGCAGACATTCATTGATAGGTGCAGTTAAGACACCTGCTCCCAAATTATGAATCATGAGGCCACAATTAAATTGTTCACAAACAGATCGTAAAAACAAATTAAGGACTATAACATAACTCAATATGTTTGTATTGTAACCTTTTGGGAACTTTGGCAAAGATTTCAAAATTTTGGAACTAAAAAAATCTCTGATGACTAAGGAACACAATTTTCTTTTTTTCCTCCTCTTTTAGTTATTAAGATTATTCTTTTCAGTTATGAAACAGACTGAGACAAGCATCACTGTGGTTTTAAAGGTAACACAAAGGGAGAGCCACAAAGATCAGTTTGTTTATCTCTCAAAATTTACTCTCCTTATGCAATAAAGAGCAGTATTCCAGTCATTTTTGCTGGAGAACAGATGTTCAAAAAGGTAGAGAACAGGTAAATTCCCTTTGTGTTCATTAATGGATGGAGGAGGAAGCAAGGTTCATTAAAGGGTAATGAAGCCGAAAATGTTATGAGGAAGAGCAAAGAAGGAATAGGTTTAGTTCATTCATTAGAACACACTGCAGAGGTCCATGCCCAAAATTAATATATAGCTGTATTAAGCATGATTTCTACAGGTGAGGGAGAGACCCATCTGATTAAATTATCTGGAAGCATAAGGCAGACAATGACAGTTGGTAGCTGTAGTCAAAGGAAAAATATTGCCTGTAAGGTACTACCACAACACTCCTTTAGCAAGAACTCTTACGACTTAATTTTTCAAACCAATAACGTTTAGTGCTTGGAAGGGAATTCAAACAGAAGCTAGATTCCAAGTATTTTTAATACAAAATGGCATGGGCATATTTACTTAAGAGAAGGACACTTTCATAGACATCCAGAGACAGGAGCAGACAACAGTGTTGTTGTTAAAAAAAAAACAAACATAAATTAAATAGTCCTTCTCACTCTTGGACATACTTGGCTGTGAATGAGGACTGAATCTATCCATTTTAGTGTGACAAAGGGATTGAAGCAGTAACCTGAAGTCTGCCAAACATTCCAAGAACAGTCTTGAACCTAAATCTAAGCAATAGTTCCTTAAAATGTTCCTTCTCTGGCACCCTTAAGGAAGGAACAAGTCCAGTGACAGTAGCTATAAGATATCAGGGTACAGCAGAATGTAAGCTTTTAACATAAGTTGGCTCACTGAGATTGCTTACTTTTTTATATGTTACCAATTATAATATTTGGTCCATTCTTCAAAACTTGCAAAGCTAGTGAGAAATTATTTATGAAATGTTTAGTACATATCTGTCATTCCTACAAAGCATTGTTAAGTGGCATGGGGTTTCTAAATCAGGCTTTTATTTAGACAAAGATTTCTAGTATATACTGCCACTGAAAATTATGCATAATGTGGTCATCAAATCCAGCTTTCACAGTTGGTTGAGAATTGTTTACAAATTGGGAGGATAACAAGAGAAAAAATGAATTTTTCACTTAAAATAAAAGTTTTGGGAAAACACTTGACTTTTCCATTTCCTGTCATACAGAGGTCAGTGCTTTTCTTTTAAGGATTTTTGTCAACATATTTTAAAAAGTAATCATAAGTAGCTGTATTCCCTAGGCCAGGATATTTATAAAATACACTTGGTCAATTAAAAAAAAATCTAAGCAGCTTGGATATTTAAAGAAAGAAATCCTTGTTCAGTCCATTCTAATAGCAATATATTTTTGACATCTCTTTGTTCTTGGAAACGTGCATTTAACTATAAACATGAAATTGTGGATGCAATATATTGTTCCTACAGACTGAAAGCACATAAAACATACCTTCTTATAAAAGTCAGTAAAGTTTACATCTGAGCTCTCACCTTTGTATTGTCTAAAGTAAAATAGTTACTTACAAAATGTGACTTATAGTAAGGGAAGTACCTAAAACATAAGGTAAATCTAGCATAATAATCTATATTACAAACATCTGCAGTTAGGTGAGTCTCATTTGAGCAAGTTTGTGGTCCACTTCTTCCAGACTGGGATTTTCAAATAAGCACAACACTTAAATGGATCCATCCCTTAAAATGGATGGAACAGATATCCCAGTGTTACGCTAGTTTCAAAGAACCCAATCCCAAATTCTGCTGCTTCCCTGTGCAGGACAATGAGAGCAGTTTTTGAGGCTCTACTATGTTCTGTAATAATCAACAATAATGAGTTTAATTCTTCCTCACAAAAATGTCTACAACTTCTAACATTTGAGTCCCTCTTTTTATCTTGACTGAAAAGCAATTCTGTAAATTGCTCTGAGTCCATTTTGTGCCACTGCAGTTAGAGTACAGCCCCATGGCTAGCTCTTGAGCCTTTTGTACATGTTCCTTGGGGCTTGGAGCTGCTCACTCAACAATCTCAGCACTGATCACCAAGAGATGGGCAGAGTCCACAGGTACAGTAGAACACTGTATCTGTACTATTCTCAACAGCACTCATACGTGCCCTGTAAATACTTCCTAGAGTTCACCATCTTAAGAGCATTTTTGTCCTAGAAGGACTCTTGAGCTTCTTCAATACAGGCACTAAAAAGTACACATTAGATGACTGTTTAAAAACACATGCAATCCACATACAATGTGGTTTAATGCTCTTCAGGTGGCAGCAAATAGCTTATGGGCATGCCACACCTACTGAGATTAAGAATTGCTGTTCCGTGCCTCTTCTAATAGCCCCATGCCTTTAGTATGACTAAAACAAAGTGCATCTTACATGTGCAACTTGGCTTTGTAAGCCTTACCATTTCCAGCCTCAGAAAACAATATAGTAATGTCTCATGCATACATACCCACTCAACAATAATTGCTTAATATTGAACCTGACTGAAGGAATAAAGATTTCTATCACAGCAGAAAGAAACAAACCCTTCAGAGTGGATTTTTTTTGTCCAAATGTCCATTAACAGGATGAAACCTGACCTTTATCTTGAGAGTGTACACATACGATTAGAGCAGGGAAATATGAGGTACGTAGGTTCAAGTTCCTTTTGTACTCACTTCAGAGAAGATTTCTTAGATAATTCTTAAATTTGACAATAAATATTACAAATTGCACCCATTAAAATCAGATTTTCCAGCTGAAAAGAGATGATAAGTTGTAAAGTACCACCATCTAACAGCTTGCATACCATTGCATTCACAATTTTGCCTTCAAAGATCAAACTTACCCATTATTCCTGTCTGATAGACACCATAGAGAGATAAACCAGTTGTGGCAGCATTCCAGACTGTGCCAATGACAGCATACAAAAGGATGGAACCAAGATTTCCAAAGAACAATCTATTTGGCATGAAATATCCAGCATCCAATACAATGGGTGGTAGCAGATAGAAGAAAAATACAATTGGTGTAAGGGTGAAGGAAGCAATATGATCTGCTGCCCATACAATGCCACCAAGAAAAAGACCAAGAACAATCAGTAGAGCGCTCTCTGGAACCACCCGAGTGACTTTGTGGGACAAGTGGAAAACTGCAAGGAAAGAGAAAAACGTAGTCAGAATTGGAATTGAGAAACAATTGGAGCAACAACTTCTAGTTGGAAAATTCATCTTCACACCAACTTCCTGCTTTCATTGCTATTACACCCAAAAGCATGCATGGAATGCATGGGATACAGAGAGTATCAGAACACAGCCACTTATAAAATCACATTTAAAATTACTATGCCAAATCTGCTAATAAACATGAACAACATGTGATATCTATTATAGCAAAACATGTAATGTTATGGTGTGGTTACACTATTAAACTAGCTAATAATATGAGAGATATTTAGAGTGCTGTGAGTGAATTTAAAGAGACAGAAAGATGGCAAGGCCAAGACACAAAAAAAATAGACTGTTCAAGATGACAGAAACACAAGTAAAACTGGAAATACATTTATAGTGTGTTTGTTAGGTACCAGATACAAAGGGGGAAAAAAAAAAAAAAAAAAGGAAAAAAAAAGCAGAGGACAGAAAGAAGTCAAGTCTTCAAAGAAAGATAGAATATGGATAAAGAAGAACTGGCAAAAGCATTTGATAAGGAAGCACAGGTGTGCTAATTTCCTGGGATTCCTATGAGCTTTTCCTTCAGTTCATCTTAAATACCAGTGTCTCCCAAATGATGTGAGCTCTGGCACTTTGTGATACTGTACCAATAAATAGGATTTTGCTTATATAGCTTTGTCTTTAAATGTTTCACTTTAGGAACAAAAAACTACTAAAAGCTGAGTTTCTCCTGGTTTAAGCATCAGCCTAGTGCTGTGTTGAAGCTTTTACAATGCTCATGCAAGTTTAGCTCAAATCTAGTTTGGACAAGAAGCCATCCTTAAGCCATTCCAGCTTTTTAAGGCATAGTGGAAGAATCTTTCCCATGACTATGCAGAGATCTGAGACCAGGTTAGTTTAATGAAAGACCATTGCTGTACCTCACAGTCAAGTATTTGTCTTGGTCAAGCTTTTATTAATTACCTTTTAGAGTGTTTTAAGTGCCCATTCCTGAACTGTCTTTGTTTCAGCTACATGTTAGAAGAATCACCCATAATTACAGGAGCCCCACAATAAGATGGATCCTATTTGTTGTGTAACTTCCATGGCCTCATCAGAATATAAAACACAAAAGAAAAAATTACAACAGCCTGTATCAACAAGAGTATGAATATAGATCTTTCTAAGTATTTGTAGACAAAACCTGAAAAAAATACCTACGTTAGAACACAGCTTCAGAGTTGGACAGTGGGACTAAAGCAACACAGCAATCACACATGAAAGCAAAATACATTCAGTGAAGCTGGCTAAACCATGCCATTTTTCTATTTCATCCATGTCAATAGCTGAATAACACTTCACAGAAACAAATATTGTGGGCTTTCCCAGTTATTTTCCTCTCTTGATAATAAAAACTCTTGAGTTTGTATTGAAAAGAAAAAAAAATAAAGAAAATCAAGCTAGCTACAATTCCATGTGCATAAATTGTAGCATTTAACTCCTCAAAAGTCTTTCCTGCTGGTCATTTGTTATTCTTTGACTTTCCAGTCAGTGAACCATCAACCAATTTATCACCTCACGGAGTACAGATTATCTCTGTGAAAATGAATGTCGCTGAGCTAGTCTTACCAACCCAAGTCTGTTTTTCCTACTCTCACGTTTGCAGAGAAGGCATGACTATATACATTGATGTTAAAAATGTAAAATTAATCTGTGATGACTTCTCAGAAGTAGACGTTTGGAAAAAAAACACCTATGTCCAGCTAAAAGTAGATACTCTGTAGAATTGTCACCTTTATAACCTACATCAGTTTCCCCAGTGAGTGCTGGGAAGTGTCCTCCTAGAAGTTACATGTTCCCAGTGAATCAGCTACGTCGTATCTGTATAACCCTTACTCCAATTGACTGATTATCTACACCAGATTTTAATACTATCAGCAAAAAACTGTTAGTTTAGGAATGCAGTCTGTGAGCATGTTTCAAGCTATTGCATTGAAACAGGGCTTTAGAGAATTTTCTTCTCTTTTTTGTATTTGGCCCAAGCAAAATTTGACACTAGACCATATTTGGTTTTTAAGGCAACTGCCTAGCTAACTCTGCAGGCAGATAATACACAATATGATTAGTAGAATCTTAGTGTTTATAAACATAGAAATATGTAAAAATACCACAGCTGAAGAAAATCAATGAAATAGCTTTAGACTAAGATGCAATTGGAATTTAGTTCAATGTTTTAGGTCATATTTGCACTTACAGTGACTGATACATTTTTCTGGCTCTATGCATAAAATATATTAAATCAAGATTGTGCATTATTAGTAGTTAGTACATTTATAGAAACTGATAGAGAGATTCAAAATTCACTTCTTACTGTCTTTTTTAACAGTTCATTATCCTGAAGCTGTATCTCTAATATATTCTGAGTGTGTTACTGTCCTGGTTTGAGCCAGGAGGAAGCCAATTTTCCTTTTACTGATTTTTTTTTTCTTTCAGTAAGCTTTCTGTTGGCTAGTAGCAGAGTGTTCCAGTTAGGAATGATAAAAAATCGTAGAATGTTTTTCTAACTGCTGGGTCTTCAAGGTCGCACCTCCACTCTGCTGGCTCAGACTCTACAGGGAGATCTCTGACCCCCCCGTAGGAGGCTGAGTTAGACAGACAGCAAAACTGACCAGAGATATTCCATTCCATGTATCTACGTAAGCTTAGAGGAAGGTCAGAGATCACAAAGACAACTTCCTTCCTCCTTTTTCTCCCCTTCTCTTTCGTCCATGGCCGGCGTCTGGGGAGGACTCCGTCCATCCATCACCACTGACCCCCAGGCTCCAGCTCTCCTGACCCTCATCAGTCTGTGCTTTCTCTGGCAGCAGCTCCGGGATTTCTCAGGAGTGTTTGCAGCTCAGGAGAGTGTTGTGGGAGTTGCTGGGGGTGGGGGGAGGTGAGAGGCTTTTGCTCATAGCTGAACATATTTGAATATAATTATAATATATTTTCTTTTATCATTAGTGTTTAATTAAAGCTGTGCAGCTTAGTTTTCAATCCAGCAAAGTTTTCCTCTCTCCTTCCCTACCTGGGTGGGAGGAGGAGGGGATTGAGAGCGTTGTTATGGAACCTAAGTCAAACAGTGACAGTTACAAATTAATATGATAGTACATGCATTTCACAAAGTTTTCCTTAACTTCCTTCAGAAAGAACCAGAAATAGTCCCACAAAATTAATAACGGCCCCACGACAAAACAGAAGAATTGGAATCTTTCATTATATCTAAATGTCTAGCATGACTAGGTATTTCACCTGACTGATGAGTATAATACAATCCAGCAATAATGGACAAAAGAGTTTAGTTTGATTCTGTTGTACAAAGTGGAAAGGATAACATGCAGTGCTGCTCAGATAAACTACTCTGTGAGTGACCGAGAGATTAAGTCTATTTTTACTGCTGTTAATAATGAAAAGAGTATTAATATATATTTATATAGAGAGAAAAAGGGCAAAGACTGAAAGGAAAAAAATCCAAACCAACAACAACAAAAAGAACAACCAAAAAAAACCCAAAAACAAACAAAAGAAACCACACACAAAAAACCTCAACAAACAAGTAAACACCAAAAAAACTTGCATAGGGCAATCCTGTGAGCTACAAATTTTAACATTTATACTAATTTTAACATTTATAACTTAGAATTCATCTACATAAGTCTAGGCACTGTATTAGTGAAAAAGTTAAACATACACTTTCCATCCAGTATATGCTAAATCTGCCTTGAAAGTGACTTGGACTGGCTAGTGGATAAACTGTGTTTAAATTGTAGCTGAGCATCACTGAGATAGAAGCTTTCTACAAAGTTTAGAATTTATTATGTAGTATAAACTTCCTGTGAATTTTTTTTCTGACACTTCCTTTGAGATGCAAGAAAATGAACCATGACATTTAATGTATCTAATGAGAAAGACAGAATAAATCAGCAATCTATTATTTGATGGCTGGAGTGGGTTTCTTTTGTCTCAAAGAAAAAATATACTTTAATAAGAAGGTTATATTTTTTTCTTTTTAAAAACACAGTAACTTAGATTAAATACTTCAGAGGAATTTACAGAATTCAGTGAAATACCTCTTGCTTTCTAAAGCCATTTGAGACTTCTTTGAAATAAGTGATTCAACAGCATAACCTTCTTAGCATGCATTAAGTGAAATGAAGACAGAAAATACTGGCTAAATAGCAAGAATAATAAAGAAGCAACAAAATAATAAATATAATGTACAATTCATGCCTAAGCTACTTAATATTTGTAGACACACAAATAAAAGTAGAATTTTCTCATATTTCATTCCAAATTACTGCTACAAATAACTGTTTTTAATTAATGTTGATTTTTGCTTATCAAGCAAAACATTTCAATTATTTCACTGTAAGTATTTTGTGCTTTTTTTTCTCAGGTGAAATTAACAATTCAAGACAGAATAGTGATCTAAAAATACAACACTGCAAAAATAAAAATCTGGAACTGCTTATTTAATATGCTGTTAAATTTGGGGATTTATATGGTCAATTCAACACTATCTTAAGTGACTAATGACATTTCCATTATCTTTGTTGGGGTAAAATCAAGGCCCTGAAAACATTAAAATATTTTTTTAATTATATCACTGTCCCAGTCAGTCACAAAACCTACTGCATGTGCACTGTGTGCAACATGACATCCAGATGATCAAGAACTGGCTTATAATAAT